GATGGTTTACACTGTCAATACAGGAGACAAACCAATGGGCCACTGGCTGCTCGCTGTCTGTGCGTGATGGTCCTTGGCAAAAAAAACTAAAAACCTTCTGTCGGCCCCTATCCAGTGTTGGGAGTAACGCATTACAAAAGTAATAATATTACAGTAGTATATTACTTTTTGCTGTAACGCAGTAATATAACGCATTACTAATCAAATTTGGGTAATATTATTACTCGTTACAATCTCAGTAACGCAAGTTACAACAACATATTTTAACTCAAAATTAAGTGGTGAATTTACTAACACTGCAAAACAGCACCAGAGAAAAAATTCCGCGGGTAAAATAGTTTGTCTATCTTCTGTTGCTGGAATTAGATGGTTGAGATGACTGCAGAGACGGATTCTACATTTGTGAGATGGACACACTCCTGTTATTTTCAGTTCATCGGATAAAAGGATAAGAATGCATGGTCAGGTGCAATATGTGCAACACCAAACTCTCAACATGGAGAAATAGCACGAGTAAAACCTGGAAACACCTGGACTGGTGCCACTAACACTAAGCTATCGGAGAGAGCTGCGGGGTCGGAGAAGAGAAAAAGGCGGCGCACGAGCGCAGACAAGCAACAAAAATTAAGTTTAAATAAAAATAAAAATCTGGTTTTATTAAATCATAGTGTATATATAAAATGAATGAATATGCGAAATATTTGACTTAGATAGCCTAATTAACAGATTAACAAAACGAAAGGAAAAGACTGAGAGATATGCTGCTGAGTTTGGTTCACAGGCTATTTGTGTGGCGCGGCGCTCTACGAAAAGTCCAGGGAAAGGAAACCGAGATGACAGAAATAAAGTAAACACATTGCAGTTTCGAATGATCTGTATGACCAAAAATAACAGAGTATTTTGTTGTTTGTTTCCGCTGGCGCCTCACGCACACACATAGGCCTACAGTATTGCAAACGTTGTAGCCTGTTCATTATCAGAATAAAATAGTCAACCAAACGTATAGATACACTGGTTAATTTAAATAGTGCATACTGCGTACAATCCGTGCCGATCCGGAGCTCGGGCCAAACACACATTTGCTCATGTGACGAGGATGTTTTTTTAAGCGCGTTAAGTAAGCCAGGTTTACATAATAAATAATAGTTTAGCAATTTTGGTGAAAGTAACTCAAAAGTAGTGTAACGCATTACAATTCAGAGACAGTAATATTGTAATGTAACTAATTACTTTCAAAAGACAGTAACTAGTAATATATAATGTATTACATTTTGGAAGTAACTTGCCCAACACTGATCACTGAGACATTTTCCTGTTTATCACAGTAAAGGCCTTTCCACACTGAGCACGATGTGAAAAAGTGAGGCGAATCGCAGACGAACGGTGCTTTCACACCGAACGCCAAACGATTGTTCGCCTTCTGCTAATTCACGCCTGTACGCTAGGTGGCGCCGACCAACAATGCATTTTTCCTCAGATATGCATCTCGTAAATGGATTTAACATCATTCAATATACAGCATTAAATTAAGATAAACAAGGATTAAAATGCATTCAAAATTCTGAATAATTTGTAATATATAATTATTCACGGTATTTAGAAGTGCCCACGATAACAATATCGTGCATATTCATTACCGTGATATATCGCATTACCGAATACCGGCACAAGTCTAGCATCCATAGAAATCTATTGTTTTATTCCAGCGCGTCATTGCGTCCGATATTCGCTTTTTCGCGCTCAGTGTGGAAAGGCCTTAAAGCTGATTTGACAATCTGTGTTGTATAAAACGCTACAGAAATAAAGATGACTTGACAGTTCCCTTAAAACAGGCCTTGTTTTACGGTATCCTTGTGCACAAAATGACTAGGGGTTAAAATATTCACTATAACAATGTTAATAAGCGATTACACTATTCTCACATCAGCACATATAAATGTTGAAGGGTGGAAATATGCTTTCAAAATAGTGTGCATTTCAATTGATCTTGTGTGTGAGTTTCCTCTGACGTACGTACCGTCCAGCTCGATGACCTCCATTCTCTCACCCTCCACGTCCTGACCCACAAAACGAAAGCCCTTCTCCTCAAAATGCTGCTTCAGCTCTGGGTTCACCTGTGCAAACAGAAGAAATATTAATATTAACAAATTCTTTGTACCAGATATGTTTACATCAGCTAATTTTAATCAGTTTAATCCACTTTTCAAATTCTGCAATCCAGTTCATATATCGGCATATACATGTATTCCGGACAAAACTTCAGTGAGCATAATTGACATTTTCACCTCGATACGTCTAAAAAAATGTTTTTAGCAAACATTTAGTACATATTCAAGGGCCGTCTCCTCCACTGACCAGTTCATTAGACGTAAATACAAACAGAAAAAACAGGCCCTCATTCATATTACAAAAAAATGTAAGCTAACATACACCTCACAGCACTGTGCCTATGTGCATGGTATTTAGCAACTCGACTGATGAATAGTCTGATTCAAGCATTTCATTTTATTTGTTTACACACAGGCCTTTCACCCCGATTCGGCCACCAATTCAACTACAACTGAATTATTTGGGTGCTTATATGAAAGCACAGCTGTTCACAGAGAAATGTGTTCAACTATAGCAAGCAAAATGCCTCACAGAAACTGAGAAACGACATTAACCCATCAGATGATTGACTGAAACTGCCATTTTGAACTCATTCTAAGAAATGAATGGGTTTACCAAATATAACAACATATTTGAAGGTGACGACATAAAAATATCAATCTTTTCATTTTCAAGAGACAAGGAAGAACTGTGAAATTATCAAAAAAGTCTGATAACGACATGCACTTCTGAAAAATGGTCAAATATAAGTCAATTAAAATATACATTATAAAAGGGATAGTTCCGGTCCTTGATTCTGATTGGCTGAGCCGCGTTCGAAGCTGTTGTAAATTACTCTACAAACATACACCTTTGTTTACTTTGTTTAGTGTTGCTCAGCAACCACTTTGTTGGAACCACAACTGTTTCTGAGGAACTACATTGTTTGGTGGAAGAATACTGTTTTTATTTATATCATTACACTTTATTTGCTCTGTTTTATTTTGTGAAACCTTACTACGTATATGGAATAACCGTTTTATAAAAGCAAGTGAATTTATAACAGCCTAACAACGCCCCTTAGCTGTTATAAGTTCACTGTAAACCACGGCTTCTTGGTGCTTATTGCTTTATTTCAAGATGATTCATTTATACAACCACCAAAATCATGACAAATTCAGCATATTCAATAAATCCCACAGTCCATTTTTTTACTATCACATTTTACACATACTGTCATATAAATTCATCTATAAAAAAAAAAAGGCAGAGGTGATGTACCTCAAAGCGATGTCTGTGTCTTTCCTCAACATAATCTACATCTCCATAAAGTTTTCCTGTGAGAGAGAGAGAGAGAGAATATGTTTAAATAAGTTCTCTGTTGTATTACTGGTATAGTGTTTCAGTTCGTGAAATGCACTTACTAAGTATGCTGTTTTTGGTTTTGAAAATGGTTCTCCGTTTCCCCAGCCGCATAGTTCCTCCCATCTGCCCTGGATTGTGCTCTGGCATGTCAATCACCTGTGAGACGACCAATCAAACACAGGCGGATCATTACATCTGCTCCATTTGCTTCTGATGCAAAACAGACCAGAAATCCACATTTAAACTAAATCCGATACTCACCACAGGATATTTAGTTTCCGCGTCAAATTCTGTGGAGTTGGCATCTAGGAAAAACAAGTCACACTTTGTTCAATATTGCTTGTTAAACATTCGGTACTTTTTTTTTTTGTCTTTTTCTTTTTTTATGGGCGTAGGAAAAACGTACCTTTCCAATCCAACATGTTCCTAGCAAATTCACACACAGCGAGCTGCATCCCCAAACACACACCTGAAAGATGAACGTCCCAGACGGGTTACATTCACCGCTGCTGCAGAACATTCAGTTTTAATGCATTTCAATGAGGTACTACCGAGGAAAGGCTTCTTCTGTTTCCTGGCCCAGCTGATGGCTTGAATCTTGCCCTCTGTCCCTCGTACTCCAAAACCTCCAGGTACTAAAATACCACTGACGACACGAGAGACAGCAGCAGTAATATTAGCAAAACTACATCAGGACAGCGGGCGAAAACTGAACACTGATTGTGTCTGAATTCCCCTCAATGAAAGAACACCATTAAGGCATTTTACTAAGCAGAATAGATTTGAAATGCATGAAATCAGCCATGTATATTTTAGGTGTAATTACTCACTCTGCACTGCAGAGTTTCTGCCAGGCCTCGTGGTACTTCACAGGTTCTTCCTGTAACGTACCGGCCTCCAAATCTGCAGAGTCAACGTACTACAGAAAATGAAGAAATAATTAGAGATAAAGATTCACTGATACATCGATTAAAAAAAAAAAGTAAACTAATTTATCACCCATTTTTTCTGAAATTAATCAATTAATCCCAACTAACATACTTTTATACTGCAATAATGTCACATTCAATCTTCAAATTAATGTAGAAACAGCAGAGACAGTATATTTTTAATATTTGCTTAATGGCATCTTTTTTTTTCTATTACTGCTGGCAAGTTGTCCGCGGTGCGAAAGCGCCTATTGGTATCAGTGATACTCGCCTTCAGTGTCGTTCCTAGCGACGTCTTTATTTGCGGCATTTACAAACATCAACAACCGGTGAATGGACAACATATACGGAGCTGTTTATGTTGTGTCGTGGGATTCATGATAATGGAGATGGAATGTAAATGCACAATTTACGCGATTAAAGGAGCACGAAAATCTGACTAAATCTACTATGACAACTTGCAGTGTTATCATCGAGGCTGAGAAAAGAACACAACCCTGCAGACAACAGGTAAATGCCGTTATTATCGCTGTTTTCCATGTTCGTGGAGTAAATGTTTACATGGCTTTTTAATGGCTGTTTTACTTACTCTGAAGTAGGAGCTAAATCAGTTCCCCCAAACGGAGTTCCTAGAACTAAATAGATTCCTAGTTCCTGCGGTGCGAACACACCAAAAAGCGGGAACTTTCACCAATAGTTCTAGGAACTATGAAAAGGTTCCTCCTGTGCGAAAGCACCTGATACTACTGATGTCTCTAGGAAATAGTTCTTTTTTTTCCTAATTTTTAACCATTGACTATACTAACATTACAGTATAATTGAAAGCTATCAATTTTAACATTTATTAGATAAAAAAAAAAAAAACTTCTAATTTAAGTGAACTTGAAACAATCTTCACATAAACCCATTATAATGAATGTCATATTGACCTGTGCCCTTCAGCATATAGGAAATATACAGAAATTGAATAAAGTTACCAAACACTAAATTCTAAATTAAATATAGGCTAGATGAATTGCTAAAGCTACAAAAAAAAGTTAATGATTTCCTCTTTTTTTCTTTTGTTCTTTGATGAACAGACATCACAGCAGCTGGGTTCTAAGGGTTATTTGGCTGCTATTACTTTAAGAGCTGCCGCTGCTGAACATGATGCAGATCTGACACACATGCTCGTAGTTTCATTCCAGCTTTAATATGAAATGATACAGTCTACAGTCTACAGCTGCAGTATTTGTGCGTGCAATTGAAGATAATGCGCTACGAGCACACTATACCAGCTGACAGGACAGGAAAATTAGTTATTACTGACATATGACCTGACAACATCTCATCTGACCGCAGTTCACTGATGTTCTACTGAAGTTCCTCATCACCTGTACCTTTTCTGCACTCGTTTGACTGGCGTCTGTGCTGAGGCGAAGTAGTGCGCGTCTGAAAAATCTCCAGTTTGATGTCGTAAAGACATTCTGTGTCTAAATAAACGCAATTCTTGTCAAGAAAAGAGACGGGAGCAGCAGTTGTGAGTGGGTGGCCAACCCTAGCCCTGCCCCCGAGTTAACTTCATTAAATATTTTTAACAAAAAATAATTAAAAATTAATTGCACGCATTAAACGCGCTAATTTTGACAGCACTAATACAAATGCATATTGAGAATTTAAAGATGAAGTATTCTTTAGAGGTAGAATTAGTTACATCTGCTAAATCAATCTCATCTGGCCGTGTTCAAGGTTTCACTCACCTTAACCTCTAATTTGTGGCTGATGGCGAGAGCGGAGTGTTCCAGGGCTTTGATCACGGAGGCATACGAGTCTGAAAACTTGGTGTATTTCCCTACCAGAGCAATGGAGCATTGCTCCAACAGCCTGTCTGACCTACCGTACAAACACAGTGCAGATAACATTAAAAAAAGAGCCTTTTTTATCCTCATCACAATATGAAACAAATCCCAAAAAACCTGGATTATCTTGTGCTACGTGATCTATGATAGCTGAGTATTAATGTATGAACTGATGCGGAATCGGTTTTTATGTTTTGAGTTTGTACTAGCCTGTCTGACATCTCTTTCCACTTCGCCAGCATTTTCCTGGGTCTGGTTTCAATGGGCAGGTTCAGTCTGCAACAGAAATATCCCACAACGCCCTGGTCTTCTAAGAGCAGTGGCACTCTGTAGATGGACGACACATCGTGTACGCAGATCACCTGTAGAGAAGACAAACTTTTCATTTAATAACTGTGCATACACAATGCACATTTCATGCTAAAAGATAAAGATTGCATCAGTATCATGCATCCAATATCAGTGAATGCGACCCACTGTCCTTCAGACACATTTTGGCCCGGTTTCATCTGCTTTTCCAAAATGTTCTTGATAATTATGCTACAGTGAATGTTCAACTGTTATGAGACAAATTGTTCACATTAACTCCCAGTATCGGGCCCGATACCGATACCAGTATCGGTGCATCCCTACTCAACAGTTATGTTAGTCCTGTTGGCTCTTTGGTGGTTTTTAGTCCTGCGGGATCCAGACTAACCTGTTCAGGTTCCACATGACAGAACATGGATATCTTCTCTTTCACGGAGTTATCAAGTGGAGTGGAGCAACGACACATTATCTGCAAGAGCAAGAACAAAACAGCACTTAAAACTCTGTGACATTATCAATGTTGTGGACATGACCCACTAACATTTTGAACCTCAATACAGATGAATATGGCTTGGTTTGATTAGTTTTCAGCTAGATTAAAGTGATTATTACGTTTTGAATATGGATATTTTTCTTACAAAAACGCATCAATTCGCTAC